TATTTCATTTTCTGATATTTCATATATACTATCTTCACTTTCTAATTCATAATCTATGTATTCTATCTGCGTATATTTTTCATCGTCTATTATTATTTCTGATATTTGTTTTTTCTAGTGATTTTTAATAAACGAAAAACGAGAGTGCAATCTTCACTTTCTAATTCATAATCTACGTACTCTATCTGTGTATATTTTTCATCGTTTATTATTATTTCTGATATTTTTTTTTTCTTTGGATTTTTAGGTAATTTACAATCTCTAGCTATATGACCTAATTTTCCACAATTATAACAAGTACACTTCGTTAGTTTTCTTTTTGGTCTATATGGTCTTTTGGTTTTGTAGTTTTTTACATAATATCTTCTTCTTGGTTTTTTATATTTATATTTTGATCTGTATTTTTTATTATATTTCTTTCTATTTTTATAATACTTATCCGTACAACCAAATTGAGGTGCTGTTTTATTTTTGCAACATGCCAAGTTTTTTACTAATATTTTTTCCATTTTTATTTCTTCTTTATGTTTTTCACATAGTTCCATAAACCATCGTTGCAAGAATTTTATTCTAGCTCCTAAGGTGTCTGTTAATTCTGCTTCATTCCAACTTTTTATTACTTTTGAATTAAAAGGTTCCGGTAATTTTGTAAAATATAATTTTCTTATTTCTTTACTTTCTTCTATGTTATATGTTCCTTTATAATAATATTCTCTAAATGCACATGTATATTCATCTATATAACACATATTACATATTGCTAATTTTGTCATTAGATTTCGGTTTATGATTTTTTCTTTATTTTGTTCTTCTACCTCTGTTGTCATACTACTAAATTCATTTCTTATAGCTACTTCGTATTTATATAATATTTCTATAGTTGTAGTAGCTAATTCGCCATTTGATTTTTTATTACTTCTTAGAGTTTTTAAACTTTCATCTGATAAGTTTTGTAGCCATAATTTTACTGTTCCTATAAGCGTTCTTTCTATATATCCTAGTGTCTCTGTCATTACTATTTTGTTATCTATTAATTGTCAAGCTTTTATTAGTATTTCTGTTCCTCCTAAATGTACATATTTAATTGGATTTTTAGCATTTTAATCTGAATTTATTTCTAAATCGTACCATTCTATTCTTTCATTATCTAAATATAGATCTTGTAAATCTATTTCATACCATTCTTGGTTTAATATATCTTCTAATTCGTAGTCATCAAATATTTTTTCCCATATGATTCTTCTTAATTCAATTATCTTTATACCGTTAAGTATATATAAGATTAAAGTTTCATAGCTTTTTATCATTTCGTCATGCATATATGTAGTCATGTTCTTTACTATGCGGGTTTTTTATTTCAAATTATTCCTTCCTATCATATTCATAATTGATTAAATTCATATTAGATCATTATGAACTAGATTATCTTTATCATGTTTTCCTGTCACTACTAGCATCGTACTTTAGCGGATACTTCCTTCTTATCAGCGCCTCAACTTTGTTTACTCCCCTAAACGGCTTTCCTCGCCTACCGGTTTCAACATTAGGATGGCATAGTATAGAAGTTTTCTCCCTGTTTCCAGTGTGCTAATAAACTAGAAATCATGATTCAAATAATTCTAATACATAATAACTAACATAAATTTATTCAATCATATATATGATATTCAGGAATATATGAAATTAGTTCCACATATTTTTTGAACAATATACCTTTGCTTCTTGCTTAGCCATGCTATCTGAAATATCTGATTGGATTTCAGATTTATCCATTAACTTTAAAGTATTTAGTATCTTGAGAGAGAGTGATTTTTATAATCTAAGAATGATTGTACTGGGTACCGTGTTATTGGTAGTCACTTCTTGCTTCTACACTTGTGTAGGTTCCGAGGCCGGGCCGATGTGATCTCTTTCTCCTTCTTCTGATTTCGAGGTTTGTCGAGGGATTGAAGAGGTAGTTGTTTGTCACTAATGCAGGCCCTCTTTTTCCTTTTCTTTAAGATTTGTACTATTTGAGAAACAAAGACTGAGACTTGTACTTATTTCTTAATTTCGCACTATATGTATTTAGTGACTCGTACACGTGACAATCAAATTTTGAGAGTTTTAATAGAATGAATAAGTTTTTCGCTTTTGTCTTGTTCTTGCTTTATTGTTTTCCGCATTTCTTTCGTTTTCGTTGGGTTGAGGCTGACTTGTCTTGGTAGGAATAGACAAGTGTCATCACGTTCATTTTAGGGTTGTAACACAAACGTAACTATAACTATAGAGCACAATTATCAAAACTATAGTTATAGAGCCTTATTATGTCTATTTTTTTATTTAAAAAAATTCTTTATAAAGAATCCCTCAATCTCTAATCCTTAAAGATAAATAAGAAATGTTCTCTCTACTTTACTCTTTTTATTGTTTTATATAGTTTCATACTAGGAGTCTCACACTAATAATGTGATATAAATTATAATAACATATCAAGGCAACAAGAGATGTAACCAAAGAAAGTAGTGGAGGAGAGAGATTTTATTTCTCTTAAAATTGATGTACAAATAAACTAAATTGAGTTTCTATTTATAGAAGAACAAAAATTGTTAAGCTTATCTATGTGCAAATTCTACCCCGCTCTATCCAACTCTTCTCTTTCAATTTTTTTAATATATTATTCTTTGTGTTAGATGTATACATACATTTATAAGAAAGTATTTTTCTACTTGGATACGAAATATAATAGAAATAATTTTTTTTTAGAAAAGCTCTTGCAGCAAATAGAAAATACTTTCTTAAAAACATATGTATATTTTTTAACACAAAAGGGGAAAAAATGAAAGAAAATTGAATGTGAGGGTTAGTGGGGTGCGTAGAAATATTTTTTTATAATAACTAAAAATAATATCTAAAAAAAATAAAAATAAAAGAGGGGGGTAGGGGGATAATTTAGAATATTTTTTAAAATCTTTTATAAAGGAAATTATAAAAATTATAACTAAAAATGTGTGTGTGGGAGGGGGGAGGGTATGATGGAGAAGGTGGTAGAGTAGAATAAGACAAATGTTTTAAATAATATTTCTTTTTATAGTGATACATTAATTTTGAATTTTTAACTAATACTAATAATTTATTTGATATTTTTTAAAGTAAAATATTTTGTTCATACGGAGTGTCATGAGACAATCAATCAATCAATATATATATATATAAAGCTGAACCTAGGAACTGCTGATGTGGCATGCCTCTAAGGCCACCATTTGCAATTGTCTTTTTCCACATTTTTTGGATTTTTCTCCTAATTTCCCCTCCATATATTATAATAGCTAAATAAATAACATAACAAATTAATTGTTTAGCTCCAGCCCACATGTCACCTATTAAATCAGATAATAATATATTACAGTAAAGCCCAGCCCACGTCCACAACAATAATGACCCAGCCCAAACGTTCTTTTTACCTCAGACTTTTCCAATTCCTGGTGAGCTTCTCCCTCCAAGGAGTTGTTCTTCTCACATCCACACGTTCCAAATTATTGCGACCTTCTCCCTCCAAACAACCAAAGGTACGTTTTCCATAAACCGCATTGCTTCATCTTCCTTATTTGTAACTGTAATGTCTTAAATTGTGTATAAATCTCTGATAATTAGTGATAAATACTCTGCTGATTTATTTGCCCCTTTCATACCTCAGTTCTGGTTGTATATATAGATGAGTAGTGAATCATTCCCATATTCAATTTTACATTGTCTATATTTCTTTTAATTGAGTTTTATTCTTACTAATCACGTTTATAGTTGTACATAGATGCAGAACTTATTACTAAAATAGGCCCATGATATTGTGCTTGATGACATTCATGACCTTGATATAGGTTTGCTCTTCTATGACAATTCCCTTCTAATGTATATTATCAATATCCTTATATTTCCAGCATGATGAAAAGTTCTCTATGTGGTGTTGATTTAAATTTGTGTTGGATATATAATAGTTTTGATGGATATTTAATCAAGTCCTATGCTATATTTGATTTAATCCGTTTACAAACTCAAAGTTTGAGACGATGCATCACTTAGAGCAATTTTTTATATTGCTTCTTACGTAATATTCTTTTACCATTTATTTCAGTCTCTTTTATTGGATGTGCATTTTGTCACCTCTTTCGTTTTTTATTTGCCTATATATTTAATTTATTGAGTTGGTGATAGTAATTATATAATGAAATATTAGTAGGAGTTATCTGAAGAATTATTTTTTTATTATTGCAGAACATTAGCAGGAAGAAGAAGAGTAGTTAAAAATGGAATCACATTCTAAGTTTTTTGGAGTTAAGCAAAGAGATTAGGAGGCAGACAACATAAAATAGTAGAAGTAAAAGAAGAAATGTGTAAGGAGGAAAAACGAGGTAATTTTAATAGCTATATATATATATATATAGTCAATGAAGAAAACAATTTTGATATTGTTTTTTTTTTATGTCAAAATATATCTATATATGCAAATATTATGAAAATAAAAAACTATTTTTGTACAAGGTAATATGGCATATCCATATTATACAAGAAACCATTGTTTATTGTTATGTTTGAAACCAAAACATACTGCTTCTTGCTTTTGCATCAAAATTGATGGTCAATGTGTAACTTAAAATATTCCATTATTTAGAAAATAACAGTGGTCCTTTCTAGTGGATAGAAGTAGTGTCTATGGCCAAGTTTTACATCTAAATTGGTGATCAATGTGTAACTTAAAATATTCCATTATTTAGAAAATAACAGTGGTCCTTTTTAGTGGATAGAAGTAGTGTCTATGGCCAAGTTTTACATCTAAATTGATGATCAATGTATAACTTAAAATATTCCATTATTTAGAAAATAACAGTGGTCCTTTTTAGTGGATAGAAGTAGTGTCTATAGCCAAGTTTTACTGTAGCTGCAAAAGATTGGATGTAGTAACTGTTGATTTGGATTTCCTCTACGGAGTTGTTCAACTACTTTTGCAAACTCCATTCCTGGTCTCTCAAACTCAACAAGGTAAAATATCAGTTAATTATCTTTATGTTGGCATTATTGTGTAAAGCAAGGTTTAGTTTGTATTCGTCTCCTGGATCCTCTGGCTTAGTTGATTCTAATATGGCAGAGCTGAATGGACTTTAGAAATTTGGGGCGTTTTAGGTTGGCAATATTACTTCTGAAATGATGAAAGTCAAAATAAATTGATATAGAAAAATCAGTTCTTGATTCCGGAATGAATCGAGTTGAGAATAGTAATGTGGGTTATATAAGGTGTGAATGATGTGTTTGGGAAAAATGAATACAATGTGTGTTCTTTTAACAAGTTTAACTGATGAACAAGTTTCTATGTCCTTTGAGAGTGTGATGGTCTTTGATTATATTGTATATCAACTGAATACTCTTGTATCTTCATAGAGATTAATTAGTTTTAGTTTCTACATATAGAATAAACGCTTGTGGTTCGGACCTTCTATGGACTATGGGCATAGCAGAAGCTTGTAACAAAAGATCAGAAATTGGAAAGGACGACAACATGAATACTGAAATAGTTAACTTGTATTGGAAAACAATATTACCAGATTCCTTGAAGCATATGCCTAAGTACACAATACATTTTCGAAATGGATTAACTAGCACACTGTTTACTATTTCTTTATAATCTATTTTACCCCTTACCTATAATAAAGTGCACTAACGAAATATATTAGGTGACTATATGATCTGTACAGAAATTGATGTTGGATATTACTACTCAAAACAGGGTAGGATTGTTAGCAGATATCAGAAGAGTCCTTTTTTGACTTTATTTATTAGATTATACTGATTATATTACTATCTAAATTGACGTTTGAGTAGAAGTGTAATATTAAACAACTCATATATTTGTTATATTCGCTTTTGACACAGGAATAAGATTGTGTACACTCTAATCGAATGAAGATGTCACATTGGTTGATAGAGGGAGATGTAGTTACTGTATTTATGGCTTGCAGTGCTAACTTTGTTTTCCATTTATTGTCAACAGATGCCAGTGGCAGAGAGCAAATGGAGTCAATAGTTTGAAGGATAGATTTTCTAAGGGTTCCATGCCAGCTGTATGTATGCAAGAGATAATTCAGGGCGACCTGTGAATCCAGAAACCTTGGAGACACTAAGATGATAAATTGGAGCCACTGCCTGGTGACAATTGAATCCTCAAAATAGCATCTTCTCAATTAACTACTTTGTCAAATACAAACTCTAGCATAAGCAGTAGTAGCAGGAGTAGCAAGCAAGACGACAAGGATGGTTTCTCATTAAGGAACATGTTTTGGTCTAATCTTGAGTAGCTATAAAATTCAAGTGGTGATCTGAAGACCTAACTGTGTTTAGGCAATGTTGATTGTAAATAAATATCAACATCCGTACAATTTTAAATAATGATAGATGCATGGTACAATGTACACATCTATGCAGTGTAAAATCATTTGAAATTCCAAAGGTCACAACTTGAATCTTGATTGAGTACTGATAAAAATATAATTGCAACATCCCATAAACTTTCTTTACGGAAAAGTAAGAAGAAGAGAAATGCAATTATGTATTATACATTACCAGAGTCAAATGATTATCTCCCTTAATGGGGAGGGAGGTGGAATGATAACTTTCAAATTTATTTCTCTGTATATGATTTAAATATTACCACCTACGTGAAAAAAAATTGATTTGAATATTTTACTCCAAAATAACATTATAGAAACTATCATTTGTGAAAATGACATCCACATGAAAAGAAGAGTGACAGTCCAACCAGATAATGGTCATATAAATTTCATGCCTCCCCACTCCGAACACCAGCTTGAATTTCAGAATAATTTCATATCCATGTTCTCATTCTCTCAAGCTTAACAACATTTATCTTGCCACATTTTCCAAAATGTGGACACTAATCTTTATATAAACATTTAACAAATTCAAAAATCATCTCATTATTTAAAATAATTAAATGGAGAGCACAATCAAGAAAGAAAAAAGTTATAAATAACACTTATTTTTATATTTTAAAATTTTGACGTTAATGTACATGATCAATGTGAAAACTTATATAGGATAAATAAATTACCTCACTTAATAGTCTTTTTATTAAATGAGAAAAATACCAGCAATATTACAGAATTATGTGTTAATGATCTTACATATTTATGAATTACTTCTTTTACAATTACATCATCCAAGCTATTCCTCTACACCTTTTCATTTACTATATTTGCATAATAAATCAATAACAGATCTTTCATAATAAATAACAATACAAATCTCTAACTTTCCTTCAATTCTTTTTCAAAATCTTGACACTTATCTTTACACAAAGATCTAACTAATCCAAATAATTAACACATCATTTAAAACAATTAAATGAAAAGCACAACTATCACCATTTGCTCAGAGTGGTTAATTGATGTTAATTTTTCAAATGTTTAATAGTATTATATTTAAATTACATTTTATTGCAATACTCTATCCTTAGTTTGACTTTGAAAAATACTTATACAAAAGTGCTACAATGGATAAGAAATTTATGGATTATCCACAACAAATTAGTTAGGAGAATTGTCAAGGTAAAATATTAATTATAATATTAAAATTTATTTTAAGTTGTTCTTCTATACAATTAACAAAACATTTATTTTTGAATACAGCTGCAACTGAAGAATCAAACAAATTGGTTAAAGCGATGTATGAAAATATTAAGCAAGAACGAATTGCATATTTCAAAAAGGAACAAGAGCAACTGAAAAAATATATACACAGAGAAGTTTCACCAGGTCAGTCTAACAAAGAATGATATCACATTTTTCATGTATTGATTTCAATGTAATAGAGTGATGAAATAAATTTTTATTAGAGAATACACTCTCAAAAGATTAATGTGATAAAGAATAATAGGACATTGTTGATGTATTTTTTTATATATATTTTATTGTGATTTTACATTGAAAATCATTTCAAACACATTCACGAAAAGTTTCCATGACAAATATTACAATTTTAAAGATCAATCTCTTTGATATCTCAATAAAAATCAAGGAGGACCATCAAAACATACTAACAATTCCCCATTCAGTGCAATAGAAATAAAGTATTTTTTTAATAGAACATTTTTTACAGATAGTATAATGTTATAATTAATCCAAAAGAAAAATAATTCTAACACACATCTTTTAACCATCGCGCAAAGCGCGGCCATGTTCCCTAGTTTTTTAAAATAAAAGAGAGTATACACACACCATCAAGAGTGTAATAAAAGAGAGAAATGTTTTTCAAATCAATGAGTGATAGTTTTAAAATAAAACTGACACTCTCAATAATTTAGATATCAAACTCAAGAAAAAAAGATAATTTAGGTGTATTTTTGACGTTTTACTCACATAATATGCTTCATCCGTTTCTTTTTATGTCACATTTTTAGATTTCATTTGCATTAAAAAACACTAAGTAAATTTATAATTCTACCTTTATTTAAAATCAACTTTTTAATAAATGATAAATTTCAGCATTTGATATTTTAGATTATTTTCATTAATGGATACATTGCATTTTCTCTAGAATAAATCTTTCTCTTAATAGATCTCTTCTTGTTCCTCAATCTTCCGAGAATACGGCGTTGTATTATTGTAAGTTCTCTGTTCCAAATGATAGATTTCAGCATTTGATATTTTAGATTATTTTCATTAATGGATACATTGATTGAGCAGATGGACATAAGCATTGATACTTGACGACACAATCCATAATACAAAGGAGTTGCTTAAAAAAATTGTGAAGATGTGTACAATAATAGAGCAACTTTGAATGTATTTAGATTTTACTTGAATCAATATGTAATAGGTATTGCCAACAAGAAGTTTTTCTTTAAGAAAAAGTAGTGGACGGTGCCAGGCAAAACAGCAAAATTTCATTTGAAAAGGTACTTTTTCTTTATCCATCACAAAGAGAGAAAAAAAGATACAAACTTACTAAAATTATGAGAGTAATTTTTTTTAGTATAATATTAAATGTGTATTGTAATTCTTCATCCTTGTATGCTTCTTCTCCTTCATCAGAAATTTATTCAAGTCGAAATTGTGCAGAACCCTTTTGTTTGGATCTTGATTTTTCTCAAATTGGTCTTCACATATTTTGGTTAAATCTTCTATTTTTACATTCTTTAAATCTTTTGAAGTGTCATTTTCCTTGATAAAATTTGTTAAAGCTTCAACTTCAAGATTATTTTTTAATTTTTCTCCATCTTTTATTTTTAATTTGTTTGTTGAGATTTCTTTTTCAAAATCGGATTTTATAGAATGGACAATATTTAGAATAATTAATCAATATATGAGGTAATAACAACGAGCATTAATTACTTATTACTTTTCCTAGTTTGGTCAAATATCTATTTTCAAAACTAATTAACTAATAAGGGTATAATAGAAAGATTATTGTAATTTATGCATTGATTTTATGAAATGACAAATATTAGTTGGTCCATAATACTTGTCATTTCATAAAATCAATCCATAAATTACAATATTCTTCCTAATTTCCTATTATACCATTTATAGTTAATTAGTCTTGAAAATAGATATTTGACCAAACTAGAAAAATTAATAAGTAATTAATGTTCATTGTAATTAACTCATACATTAATTAATTACTCTCAACATTGTACTACTCTATAAAATCTAATTTTGAAAAAGAAATCTCAACAAACAAATTAAAAATAAAAGATGGAGAAAAAACTCAAAAAAATAATCTTGAAAGTTGAAATTTCAACAAATTTTATCAAGAAAGATGACACTTCAAAAGGTTTAAAGGTGATGTAAAAATAGAAGATTTAACTAAAATATGTGAAGGTCAATTTGAAAAAAATCAAGATCCAAATAAAGGGGTTATGCACAATTTCGACTTGAATAAATTTCCAAATTCCTGATGAGGGAGAAGAAGCATACAAGAATGAAGAATTACAATACACATTTACTAATATTATACTAAAAAAATTACTCTCTATCCTTTTTTTGTGATAGTTAAAGAAAAAGTACATTTTTTAAATGAAATTTTGCTATTTTGCCTGGTAGTGACCACCTTTTTTATAAAAAAAAAAAAACCTTTGGCAATACCTATTACATATTGATTCAAGTAAAATCTAAATACATCCAAAGATTTTTTGTTATTGTACACATCTTCGTAATTATTTTTAACAACTCCTTTAGATAATTGATTTTGTTGTCAAGTATCGATGCTTATGCCCATCTGCTCAATCAATGTTTCCATTAATGAAAATAATCAAAAATACCAAATGCAGAAATCAAGCATATTTATCATTTATTAAAAATTGACTACAAAAACACACATTAAATAAGGGTAGAATTATGAACTTACTAAGTTTCTTAATGCAAGTGAAATCTAAAAAAGTGACATATAAAAATGAATGGAGAGAGTATAAATAAAAACATCACATCCTGGCTAATCACTCCATCAAGCAATAAATATTTGATAAATTACATGCATGATTCAAGGGGATCCATTTGACCATATATTAAAAGGGTAATGCTAAATGGCCAGACACATTAATGACAAGGACCAATACATAAATTATTAATTACTATTGACAACTCTTTCACTAATAAAAATAATGAATTGTGTTCATTGCTGAAATACTGATCATGGATGTTCACCGAAAATGACCCTACTTACCAGGCAACAAAGGTGCAGCAAGCCAAAATCAAAACAGAACATATATAAAACACAAGTGTGACCTATCAACGAAATTCAAAATGCTAGGTGATTTCTTTTCATTTGTCTAAGCTTTGGAGATAGAGTTACCTGATACCTAGGTTGGTGGAGATACCAAGTACCTGGTGAAATGGTCGAGGTGCAAATAGCATGGAAACCACCTCTGTAAAGAAAAAGAGACACAAACTTCCATTTCCATTTTAAGTTAGGATCGACTTAATGGTCAGAGTAATCCTAAGAATAGAGATGTCCAGGTTCAAACCTCATCCACGATCTCTTGGACCACTGCCTAGTAAAAAAGCCAGTGCCAACTGATAGCACAAGCCAAGGAGACATTTTGGGCAGAGTTAAGGAAGTTTAGTCACCTCCAAGAAAATATCAAATGTAAACACATGTGATAAGCAGTGATAATTAACATGAACAGAATAAAAAACTTAAAAAAGAAACCTGAATTTCTGAATCAGGATTTTCTAACACAAAACTGTACTTGGAGGGTTACATACCAAGGTTACAGTTTCAGAAGAGGCAGAGTGGGATGCTCGTCTTGAATTTCAGATTAAGCATGCCATACTGGAAAAACTAGGCATTCTACATCATGCCAAGTCGAAGGTGCCTGGTAAGTTCTGTACAGAAACAGATGACTTAATGGGAATGAAATATACGAATTAGAACTTCTACAGTGCTGAATATGATTCAGATGGTGATTCATCATCAGGTGGCCACTGTTGATTATGAGCAAAAGGAGGTG